GTTTATGAGAATATTATATATATATGATATTGATTTAAGTATTCAGTTATTTAATGATGAAAATTTAATTGAAATAAATCATGAAATATATGAAAGAATGAAAAGTTCAATTGATCTTAATTTAGCTAAAAAAATTAATTTTTTTAAAAGAGAGAATATTTATCTATTAAAGAACAATGGATAAATGCAGCATGTTCAAAATTACGTGATCGTCTTCAATTTTTAAATAATTTAATTTGAGATAAATTAAATGGATATTTAAATCGGGCTATTGATAATTCAATAGTTTCGTGTCGTTATTATTCTTTTTCATCAGATGGACCAAAATATAAAAGAAATATCTTTACCATCAACATCATTTGTTGAAAATTATTTTTATTATCCAAATGGAGAATTTAAACATCCAGATGATATTAATCAATTAATTGAATATGTTTATAATTATCAATTATCAATTATATCTTATGGCTCATTATGGTTCGATTGGGTTATGAATGATGATCCACTTAGATCTTTTGCTGATCCAGGTTTTATTTTTATTTTTATTTTCATTTTTTTTTTCTTATTTTCATTTTTTATTTATTTTAAAGGACAATATGCAATATGTTTATTTATGGCGAGATTTTATTTCAATGGTCTGATTTAGTAAAACTTCGTTTTGGTTCACGACGTGAAGATTGTCCATCATTATATAGATATATGAAAGAATATACACGTTTAATAGCCAAAACATTTCATGGTTCTCGTCTTGATCATTATCATTCAACACCATTATGGTTTGCAGAACTGAACTTTTTACTCGAAATATGTCTATTGATATTCATTTTATTAATCAAATTGGAATTAATTCATTAGTTAAACAATCTTGGAGAGCAAATAATGCATATGAATTAGCTCAATATGTATCATTAGTAAGTGAAGATGATCCAATAGATTCATTTAAAAAAAAAATAATTATCGTCAATTATTATCAAATAAACCATATTTATGGTTTTATTCCCTCGACTGAAAGGAGGGTCATATGAAAAAAAATAGTTTGTGTGTATGTTTGTGTCAGGGTCAAAAAAACATCCGCTTCTACATAAAACTTGACCAAAGGGTAATCGAGGGTGAAGAATTCGAATCTGAGGGCAGTTTTAATTAATTATTAACTAATTATTAACTGATTATTAATTACTTATTAATATTTTGTATAAAACTTGACCAAAGGGTAATCGAGGGTGGAAAATTCGAATCTGAGGTTAGTTTTCATTAATTAATAATTAAAAATGAATTGATTATTAATTAATTATTTATGATTCATATTTTGTATAAAACTTGACCAAAGGGTAATCGAGGGTGGAGAATTTGAATCTGAGGTTAGTTTTAATTAATTATTAACTACTTATTCCCTCGACTGTAGGGAGGGTCATATGAAATAAAATAAGGTTGTATGCGTCTGTGTTTGTGTCAGGGTCAAAAGAATATCAGAGTCAAAAAAACATCTGCTTTGAGGAAATTTTCGATATGTGGCGTTTCAATAATCGGACTCTTTATGCCGAAAATCCAGCCAATCAGGGGTTTTCGATATTGGGCTTTCAGCCAATAGGATTTTTTCATGCCAAAAATCCAGCCAATCAGGCGTTTTTTGACACTGAGCTTTCGACCAATCAGATTTTCACAGGCAGGAAGTCCAGTGAGTCATGTTTTCGCTGACCGAGTCTTGTCCAATAAGGTTTTTGCGCAAGAGCTTCAGCAATGAAATCTTCTCACTCTCTCGCTCTTGCCCAATGAGATTTTTACGAAGCTGAGGTTTGTGTGAGTGAAATGTTTTCGCGATTTCGCTTTGTTCAACCAGTTTTTTTCAGCTGGAAACTGAGTTAATCAGATTTTTTTTATTGTATGGCTCTGCTGCAATCAATTGTTGCAAGACTGGGAGAAGTCGGTACTAATAGCGGTCTAGAAGTTTCCTTTCTCCTTTATTCACAGGTAGCGATGCCTTGTAGAACATCGATTTTTCAAAAGCTCTGGCAATTAAAACTGTAAGGAACAGATTACAAGAAACTATGATTTTTGGAACTTCTGACCTTAAATTTTTTGGTTATAAATCCAACAATGTTTTACAGTAAGCCAAACGTGACCCGACTAGAATGCGAAGAAAAGAGGGTGATTTACTGGGAATGTTGGTTTAAGCATGAAACCGGCTAGCCATGAGTGGCGCCCTAAAGGGGCGCCGACGAACGACTAGCCCGTAATCTGGCGGGTTCGCCGAAGGTACACCTTGGGCCGGCGGAATTTATATAAAATTGCTCGTTGATCGAATCTAACCGGTTGAAAGTGTCTGGAAATTGCGAAAAACTCAGTGCGGTAATATGAGTTTTGATCATCGATAAATGGTCTGAAATAAGGAGTTACGAACCAAGAATAGCGATAATGACAGACACAGGGCTGACGTTGTAGCTTCAGACGGAAGAAGGTCTTGCAGAAAAATGCGAATGAAATGTATGTTACTGCGTGCAATGGTTAGGAACATTAACAATTTGTCAAAAAATCACAGAGCGAAAGGATTAAGAAGAAAGTGAAGGACTGTTTAAAACCATATCGGTGTCATATACGAAAGCGAGCAGTCGCGAGTGGTGGCTCGTATCGACCACAGCGACTAACTGTGAGCTGCCTCTTAAGGTTAAATTTGGAAAATCCGAGGATAAAATTGAAAAGCGAAATCTTTTTAGAAATTGGTCGTCTCCTACAATAGTATACGGTTTTTTTCATACATGTGTGTGTATATAACAATAGTTTTCACAATGAAATCTAGAAGGTAATGATAGATAATGAATGGACGGGATTCAGTCGAGGGCTAAGCGAGTCGTAACGACGAGCGTTACTTGTGATAAAACACATGATAATCTATGTCAAATTGAAAGAAGATCAATTGAAGATACAATAACACGTTCAGTATGTGTTTCTATGGCTTATTGTTCAACTGGTTCAAATCGAGGTTATGATGAATTAATTCCACATTATATTGATGTTGTTCATGAAACAAGATTTTATTCTCGATGAGATTTGAAATCAAAACAAACTAATGATAAAAATTGCTATGATTTATTTAAAAAAAATTCTTAATTAATTCCATATTAATCTTCTATAATAAGGTTTTACTCAGGTTTGTTCGGGTGTGGGTGTGGGTGTGGATGCGGGGTGTGGGGTGGGTGTGGGTGTGTGGGTGTGGGTGTGTGGGTGTGGGTGTGTGGGTGTG